AAAACCTCAACTCTTTAATTTAAATGAAGCTGCAGCATCTAGGGGCCTTACTGACTAATTCAGGTTCACTTTGCCAGAAAGCCAGAGAAGGAGCATTATCTGAAATGTTCTAGTACAAGGAAGTGAAAGAAGTGGCTTATTTTTCTCTTAATTTTATCTGCAACACATTTCTGCTTTGTTTGCCTTTTTTTTTTTTTTTTGCTACTACATCTAAGCTGTGTGTTTAACCCCATGAGAAGCAGTGACATAGCAACATCTAACCTATTAATGTGCATTTGTCATGTTAAATTACAAATTCTGAAAATCTCACTTGACAGTGTTTCTTGAGCAGTATTGCTAAGTTCCTTTTGTCACTGTAGTTTATACAAAAACATGGAACTGATTTGTCCTCTCACTTGATACCAGTTTTACTCCTCAGCAAATTTATTGATTTAAATGAGGATGACCCAATTTTGGTGTTGAGAGAGAGGAATCAAGCTCTATGTTTGGTACATATGTTGCCACAAGAGGCAGGCACAGGGATATGTAAGATTAAAAGTGAAATATTTCTAGGATGATTTTTGATGTTTTATGTTGTGTTGGTAATATCTACAACTTTAGGTTCTTTCTGTTTTATTTAGATTCTTTTTGTTTTCATAAATACTTAAAAGATAATTTATATTTTAATTGTAATGTTTGTCTTTATCAAGCATAATACGCTTGATAAAGCCCTGGTTTGTGAGGAATTGCAATACAAGTGATCACAATACTTTTTAGAGAATTGAACATAGGTTTAAAAGTATAACACAGTGGACAATAAATCTGCAAAACGAAAAGATTGTGGTACAAGGAGTTTTTCATATGAAAATTGTTGGTCTCAGTGTATGAGGGCTTGAAAATACTTCCCCCTTCTAGGTGTTCTTGAATCTGCTAAATACTGAATGTACTTGAGAACATAAGTACATGTCAGTGTCTTCTTTTAAATAAAACATTGCCTGTACTTGCTTGGATGCAGAAAGTGGGTAAACTTCATTGCGTGAACATTTGAGCTAAATAATTTATGAAGTGTTTATCAGTTTCTGTGTAAGTAGACTCTGAGATATTCAATCTTATTCTCTGGTTCTTGTCCTTTATGAGCAAGAGAGTGCTAGGAGGTACAGCAAGGGGGATATGTAATCCATATGCAGATTAAATTCTCTAAGTACAAAGGTCCCTCAGTTGCATTCAGGGGTGTATAAGTTCACTATAAATGAAATTGATGGCACTGATACTACAGAAGACTATTCCGGTTCTCCTATAAGGACCATGACTTGAGGATTAGCTGTAATAAATACAGTCAAATTGTTCACATTTCAGCCTAAAAATATATGAAAATTTCTCTGTTGCAGGTAAATTGTCAGACATCAAGTCTACATGGTCGTCTGGCCCAATCTCTCACACACAGGCCTCTCTATCCCATGAACTTTGGAAGGTACCCAGAAACACTACTGCTCCTACAAGACCACCTCCAGGCTTAACAAACACCAAGCCATCATCTACCTGGGGTGCCAGCCCACTGGGTTGGACCAGCTCTTACTCCTCTGGTACTTTTATGACGTTTTACTGTAATGCTTTGCCTTCCTTCTTTATGCTCTATTTACTTCTATTCTCTATGGTACAGAAGCATTGTACCCCCTGGCTCCAATACTATGCTCCAGCCACGTGCGGTACAATAAATGTAGGGTTAAACAACTTTGGAGATGAAAGGTACGTTTTATTTTCTGAGATTTCCAGATGGTTTCAAACAAAATAGTCATCAGTTGGTCAGACTAGTGCGAAAAATAAATTTTGTTCCCAAATGGTTTTCTATTTTATAAACCCTTCGCTTTTGTCTAAATAGTTTGAAACTTTTTTTCCTATTTTGTGGCAGGTATCCTCTGAATGGTTCTAAGATTTCAGTTTTACCTAATTAATCAGTATTATTTGACAAGGAATGTATATACGCACACACAGAGTGAGCAGAGATGCACAATGTCTAAGACCTGATTATCCCTTTAAGCAGTTGATCAGATGATGGAGTCCCAGAGACTAGCTCTAATTTGCTTCATGAACATTCCCTTTCTCTAGATATCAGCATTTAATTTAGTCACAAATTGAGGGGGAAAAAACCTATATACTCTGTGCATTTGTTCACAGAAGTCTGCTTCAGAAATAAGTGTTATAGCTAATAGCTGACTGTTTTATCGGTGATCTTCCCAAAAGGCTGGTGATTCTCGGCTCTTCGTGACTGCCACTGTTCAAGTGTCTGTTTTTTGTTTGGAAACCTACACCTCATAGGAACATAGTAATGCTGCCAAGATTTCATTTGCAGCCTTCCTTTGGTCACCCACTGTCTGAAGGACTGCAGTTTTTCTAATGCCAGTAGTAAATGTCATGGCCATATATTTTCTTCCTGTAAAATACCAGGTTGAGGATGGAAAGGCAGATTTTGCCAGTTGTGTTCCCATATCTGAATGCAGAACACGGTCAATGTAGACATTTTCCTGCTATGAATAAAAGCCAGATACGAATAATGTATCATTGGTGATGTAGCAATATACTGCAGTTCTGTAAAAGTTAAAAGATTTAATATATTAGCAACCAACAGTCTGAGATTTCAGGGATTTGTGTTGCTTGTAAAATGTCTTCTGGTTATTTCTAATGTAACCTGAAAGAAATTTTAGTGACATACATGCTTTAACCAGTATGGTGCTCTGGGAGTCATTCATGGAAGAAAAATTTCAGAAATATGAAAAATACACAGATCCTTTCAAGTCAGCTGGGACAGTGTGAGGAGCATTCTGCTTCAGCGGGTAACCCTTCTTTCAGAACAAGATAGTTAAACAGGTTGGAGAATAAATGGCCTGATTGGTTGCTAATGTGCAAGTTGGCAATAGCAGTTGTTTTGCTAGTGTGTTGTATCCTGCATGTTATATATTCTGTCATGAGAATCAAACCCCAAATTTGCTTTCACTAGGTCCTAAAACATTCATTTCTCAATTTGTTGTATAGGTTCTGCATGGAGTACTGACAACTCAGGAAGAACAAGCAGCTGGCTGGTTCTCCGAAACCTCACACCCCAAGTAAGCAGAATTACATGACTTACTATACAAACAGCCATGTCATATTTAATTGATGGTTGAAAGAAAGCTTATTAGCCTCAATAGTTTTGCTCAGATTTAAGCAAAATGTAGGGTGCTGACAGAACAGACATTTTATCAAGTGATCAGCCCCCTGAAAGCACTCTCCAGCCGTGCCCTGCCAGATGTACACAGCTGCAGAGTGCTTTAAAAGTGCCCAGTTGCACAACAAACGATCCCTCATTATATGAGTGTGCAGATGAAAGTGCTTCATAGCGGAGTGCCTTCATTAACTTCTGTCAGTGCCTGCCTGGGAGCAAGGCTGGGCTCATGTGGCCCAGCCCTACCCCCAGTGCTGTCTTCAGGATGGGATGGGGGGCAAGAGGAGCTTGGTGTGAGGAGACTGAGCTTTGCCTAGCCTCTGCTGGAGGGTTGGGGGTGGGGGGGCAGATGAATTGAAGCCCACACCAAGGTGCTCCAAAATGGAGCTCGATCCCTCACCCACCCAGACCCAAGAGAGAACATCTGTTGGGTCAAGGGGATCGCTGTAACTCATGGCACTTCCTGTGAAGTGCCATCAGTTACAGTGGGGAGCCACACATCTATCAAGGCTTGTAATTTCGTCTGCATGGCAATAATAGGTTGCTGCATAGTTGCCATAATGCTTTTAACAAATTATACTATATATTTTTATTTAGACCTGATATTAAACAGGATCAAATATCCTTTGGAGCAGGTTTTTATGAGCAAGGAGTTACTTAGAGGTTAACAGTTGCTTGGATAATATCGATGTGCTCCATATGGATTGTTTTGATAGAATGAAATGCAGTGGTAACTTTTCACCAGAAAGAATTCGAGTTCTTAAACTGCTATCAAATCAAATATGAATTTTATTCATATGTATTAGCCATCCAGTGTGCACCATTTTTGTATGAAAGTTTGATGTATGAATGGCCTTTGGGGCATAATTCAAAGATTTAAAATCCAAGTTTACTATGCTTTTATTACTCCTTTTAGTATCTGTAGTCTGTCGGTTCCTCCTGTTTGGCCAAAGTACAGATCATATGGAGAGGCTTAAGACTCAGAGTATTGAGAGAGCAGTATTTTAGGGCTATAAACTATTTATGAACATTTAGACTCCCACCTTTATAGGCTTTAGATAATAAATATCATTTTTATCTCTTCAACCTGGCAGGTTCTGTGTTGAGCCACAGAAAGAATCAGAGTTCTAGATGGAGGCAGTGATTTGTCAAAGTCCATTTCTTTCGTTAGAGAACACCGTTGTCCTTTTCATTGCATGCTTTTTTTGTTTATCATTTAAACCCTCTGCCATTAGTAAATATAGTGAGGAAAATCCCAGAAGAATCAACGTCTTTTCCCTTTCTCTAATTAGATTGATGGTTCTACACTGCGGACACTGTGTTTGCAACATGGCCCTCTAATTACATTCCACCTGAACCTGACTCAAGGGAACGCTGTGGTCCGATACAGTTCCAAGGAAGAAGCAGCCAAGGCCCAGAAGTCTCTGCATATGTACGGTTCTTCTCCTCTTTTCCTTTTCTCATAGGTAGAATTTAGCACGGGGGGAACTCTGACACAGTGTCGTTGAGGTCAGAAGCTTTATGTAGGTTAAAAAAGAATTTGATTTTTATTTGAATGAGTACTTCAGTAACATTAGGAAGGATTAAAAATATAAAGAAATTCTCATGGGTCAAGGGTATGCGAGTCAAACCACCAACTCCTGAAGGTTGAAAAGAAGTGTATTTTGTTGGCAGATACTGTAATTGCAATGTAAAGTACTTTTCTCAGAAGCTTCTGGTGCTGACCACTGCTACAGATAAGATACCAGGGTAGCTGTACAACTGACTTACTCCATTATGGTAGTCCCTGTGTCTGAACATATAGCAATAACAGTCACTCTGTTATGTACAGTTGCAGTTAGCCTTCCACTATGATACTGATCAGGTAACTGCAAAAAGTCTATGTAATGAAGAAAAGTATTAAGAATGATATACATAGCGTTGTTTTTTAAAGTGTTGACTTTGGCTTAATTACCATAGAAACATTCAAAACAAACGTGAAAAATCACCCTTCAATTAATGATATCTGTTGAGATCTGGAATCCTGAATAGAAAGAACTGTAGCCAAAGGAGTTATCCATGCTCTAAAATTAATATATGGATTTAAAAATAAATGTACATTTTAAATGTACACAGAGAACACTCCTGATTATTCTTGAGGCTTTAGAGAAATCCATAAGAAGAGTTTTGGACAAGAATAAACAGAATATACCTGTACTTCTCCGAAGAATCACAGCTGAGGTTTTGCCATGTATATTGAGTATATGTACAGAAATATTGTTTTATGTTGTATATATTACATTATTTTTTAAAATCATACTAAAACTGGTAACTGCTATGCTGTATCAGTACATTAGGTCTAACTCATCTGTAAATTTTGCGACTAAGGAGAATGGGCATAGGCGTGCACACACATGTAATTGTGAAATAGAGGGGATTACTGAGATGAAACTGAATAAGGATAGGATTTCTAAAGTGTGCAGAGTGAACCTAATTTTGTTGGCCATTCCATTCAAAATGAAAATGGGTTTCGCAGTTTTGGAAATCTCTTGACACTTCTGAAAATAATGCCCTTCACATTCTTTTCCTTCACCTTGTTATGTTGTTTGTTGTTAGGTGTGTTTTAGGAAACACTACCATCTTGGCTGAGTTTGCTGGTGAAGAAGAAGTAAACCGTTTCTTAGCACAAGGCCAGCCACTGCCACCCACCTCCAGTTGGCAGTCCAACACTGGAACCAATCAGACTCGCTTGGGCTCTACAAGCAGCTCTCATGGATTGGTGCGGAATGATGCAGGCCACTGGAATACTCCTTGCCTGAGTAGCAAAGGGAGCAGCGATCTGCTTTGGGGTGGGGTCCCTCAGTACTCAAGCAGCCTTTGGGGGCCCCCAAGCACCGACGATGGCAGGGTTATTGGAAGCCCAACACCTTTGAATACCCTGCTCCCAGGTGATCTTCTCAGCGGGGAGTCTATCTAGGAAACAAAAGAAACAAAATGGAAAAAACAATCATCAGCACTAAAAGAAAAAATTGTAACCCTTTCCAGTCCAGGGCTTCACGAAGAATCCAGCTTTAACAGATCAGACTGGCAGCCCTTTTTAGTACCTCTGTCCAATATCAAATATGAAACTGCAGAAGTCCTTGTGAACTGTTAATGAAACAGTATGGGCTACATTTGGTCAGTGTCACATGCTAATGACAGGTTTTATTTTTTCATGGCTTTTTATTTTATGTTGTCTTTTTATGTTTGTATGGTGTTTTTAAACAAAGTATAAAAGCTGCTTAGAATAGGTCTATCATGAAGGGCACTTTTCAGAAATTTGGGCTGGAAAGGGTTATGTTATCAACTTTGAGGGGAGGGGGGAAATGAAAGCCTATTTAAAATGAGCCTGTGACTATTATGCACATTACCAGAGGCGGACCCAGTAATCAGAAGGGGGAGGAGTGTGATATTTATCATTGGTACAGAAAAGTAATGAATCTGAATGGTAACTATTGACTGTACAGATTGAATTGGGGGGGTGGGGGGTGGGGAATCTCTGTGTCCACTACTCCCATGGATCTGCCTATGCACATTACCCTTGTTTCATTACTTTGTCATGTAATTTTTTTTTAATCCCAAAAATATAAAAAGTTAAAAAAAAAAAAAAAAAAAAAAAAAAAAAAAA